ATAGTGTACATGTGTGTTATACCTTTTAGACAGTTATCTGGTAAAAGTTAATTGACACGTACGCTTTTTCAGTTTATATCTACAAGTAATTACAAAGATCAGGCTACATATATATATACATGTGTACATACACCTACATCCGCAGATATATTACAGGTGTACATAGTATGTGTACATCACATGTACACATGCGTACGAACACACACATACAAAAACAGAATTATACCAGGATATATTTTTTTATTAACAAACATATATACTGCTCTTGTTCACATGTGTATAATTACCTATTAGCCATGTACTCTTGCTCTTTTTACATTTGACCTATTGACACAAGTCCAGCCATCCCATATATCGAACTACCGGTAATACAGGTGTACATATAACATGTGTACATGTACACATGCATACAAACACACACATACAAACAAGCATTTATATACATATATACACATGTTGTCAGTAATCAACCATTATTATTCTAACACTATACATAGGTATATAGCTCACTCATGTAAACATGTCCGTAAACAAACACAGGTGTACATGTAGCACATGTACACTACATGTATATAGGTATGTGTACACATGTACGTGTGCACATGAGCAGCCATGTATACAAATGAACAAATATGATTCCACTTCTCCATTGTAGAAATCTCAAAATAAATAATATGGTTGAAAATGCAATGACTACAAGAATACATTATATTCTCAAATCTGAGTATCAGCATAATCACAAACCAAACGACCTGAGTATTATTAGGTTCATTTTTTATTTTTTGTACACAGCCTTCATTCCATACACCACATTTCTTTCCTATTTGTCATATTTCAGGTGTGTGCATATATATCTACACTGCCATATCTTATTTATTAATGGCTGATTTTTAATGAAAAATTATTATTATCTAACATGGCAGATTGGGTTTTTACTTTCAGATATTTGAAAATATGTTTAATAATGAAGTACATGCACTGGTATGCGAGCACTCTCAAACACACACACGCACATACAGATACCAAAAAGTGTAAGCACAGGTACATGCAAGCACTCTATCCAAAAATGGCCAAGTTTATATTATGCACATAGTACATGTTATATTTGTACCACAGCAGTTTGTTTGCTTATGAAGCACATATAAATGCAGCAATATTATATCAATCAAGAAATTCAATCAAAATAATGGAATATTACGCTAAATTAGTATGGTATATGTCAGAGATCAATGTTTTTGGTTTTTTCTTTTGCCCTGTAGCAATATAAGGTGAAACCTTTTATTTTGTCCATTTCCTGTTTTGTCCACAAACACTTCATGAACATTGTCAAAAAGATTTACTTTCCTTGTCAGGTTTCCAACTTTGGCAAACACACTACCATTAAAGTACCAGGCCTTCTCTACGTCTCTGTTTTTTTCCAGTCTCTTTATAAGTCCCACACTCCTACTTGTCACATCGTCTGTACACCTCACATTTAGCTCCTTTCGCTTCATCATCACCTGCCTTCGTACATTTTTCCTCAGAAATTTCACAATAATCGGCCTCGGCCCATCCAGTGATTTTTTGGGTACTCTGTGTGCAGCTAAAATGTCTTGTGGACTGATGTTGATGCCCTCCTTTTTATTTACAATATCACAGAAGTCCTGCGGTAGGTCTCTCTTTTTTTCTGCCTCCTCCCCCAGTTCATTCATGCCAAATACCTTAATGTTGTTTCGTCGACTATATTGTTCATTGTAATTTGCCATTCTTATTCCCTCCATACACAGATCTCTGTTATGTGCGACATCCCTCTGTGTGTCTACTATTTCCTTCTTCATCTCATCCATCCCATTTTCTAGTTCTGTGATTTTCTTTTCTTTACATTGAACTGACTCCTGTAGTCTATGATTATGCAAGTTCATCGAGTCAAGCTCCTGTCTCATCATAGCTGTTTTCCGTGATACCTCCTCCTCAATTTGTGTGGACATGTCATTCTTAATGGTAGCCAAAATAGATGTAACAATTTCTGTGACCAGGTCTTTGATGTCTTTCTTACTTAGTATAGAACACAATGTGTCTTTTATCTCTGTCAACTCCTGTCGTAATTCTGTCATTCCACTATTTTCCACTCCTTCTACATTTGAGGTACTCCTCGTCGTTCTTGCACTTGAGTCACCTCGTGCTGCTGTTGCAGGTTTTACATATGAGGTTATTTTTCCTGATGACATTTTGTAAGAAATATGTGTCCTCCTGTATACAGAGTTGTACAAAGTAGTGTTCACTGGCCAGGTGTCCAGGTATGCCCCAACACTCTATACAGATAAACCACCTCAGGTATGTGAGTACTACTAACTCCACCAGAATGTCCAAAACATGTAAATATCAAAATCTGTCAAAGTTGATATTTTTCCTAATTATTTTTCCAGTCAATGTGTAGGCATAATACTTAAACACATTTCTGCCAAAAGTTAGCACTGTAGCTTGTAAATAACAGCATAAGTTTATCCTTTTTTGTCAGAGCACCAACATTTAATTGAATTTAATTGAAAAATAATGGACGCAGGCTGAAAGCCTCTAAGTCCATATCACAAAACATAGTATAAAAATATTATATTGTCACTGGTTAACATATATAAACTTTCCCAAAAGAGTTATTTTAAAAGTCATTATCAGTAATTATTGTAAATAGTGTCCTTCAGATGGTTATCCAACAGGATCTCAAAGTCCTTCGTGGTTTCTGCATTTACAACCGATTCCGGTAGACCGTTCCAGATATCAACTACCCTAAACGTGAACGAGTTTTTCCTTAGCTCTGTACTACATCGTTGTTTATGTGTGTGTGTCTTACATGGTAGCCATTTTTTTCTCCCATATTCCTATAAAACTTAGTACAGTTGTAGATTGCCACTTTGTGTGTTTCAACGTCCTCTGGTGGAAAATGAGTCGTCAGACAAATTTCATTCAATGTTCTTCGTGCATTTCTGGAATAGACAATAACAAAGCTAGGTGTTAAAAAGGTATCTTGATGTTTCGTAAAAACCTTTTAATATCGTGAAGAAATTTCACAAATGTATCTTAATTATGTCTCATCAAAAAACCACGAGACCATCGCAAGTGAATTGTCAATTCCCAAGTGTTTTGAATATTCACTTGTCATGGCCCTACATTCAATACCATTCATTTTCTTTTACCTGGCAAAATTTGGACCAGATGACAAAGTTTTGTATCTGGTTAGATTAATAAATCTAGTGCAATAATGTATTACCTATAAGGAATTCTGGATGAGGCTTCAATTCGTCTAGATGGGCTGTACGAGTTCAGTGCTACCATTGCTACACCTCCATGACCACACTACCACAGGCAAGATGACAGGACGCAATATAAACATGCATTGAGGTTGACGAGCATCTATCCCCGTACATTTCATGCAGATGTAAACACTTTGGAATGTGTGGGTCTTTAGAGCTTCCTCCTCATATGTTCACAGCAATTTTGTTATTTGACATGTGCTTATATGGCTTCAATTAGGTGTGCTGTACACCTGTGATATAAAATAGATAAAAAGTTATCATTAGTGTTAATTAATTGGTATTCAATATTTATAAAAAGAAATCACATTCAGATTCTTTGCAGACTAATCTCTTTTGACATAGCATAGTAATGGCGCCTTTTTGAGTGCTGCTTCACTGAAATGGAATGCAGTAGACACTAATTTGACACATGTGCTTCTTCCATGCTTCCATAAATTGTTTACTTTTTATTGACATTTCAAACAGTCATATAAATAATCGGTTTTTCAATAAAGACATTCAATTCCACAAGAAAGAACATATGCATTGACCAAAATGTGCCAAAAACTTTTGCCTTCATTTCTCATTTCCTGTTTGTGTCACTTGTCAAAATACAACACACAAATCTCGTCTTACCAGGACATCGACTCAACCAATACATTATCTATGCTTAATTTATGTAAATTACAACTGTATTCTATCTCACAAAGCATACTTACAACAAATAAACATTGTCGATCTTCTGCATCTCAGCGTTTTCTCCTCAGCTTCATGTTGTTGACGTCTGATGCACATTGCCAAAGTGACGCCATACAAACAAACCGATCTTGGATATTATGATTTCTTTTTCTTTTTCTTTTTCAATTCGGCATCAAAAGTATTTTATTATTTAAGGAATTATACTGTTTTGATAACTATGACAGAAAATATTGTCATTTTTGTAAATTAATTGCGGAGCGATATCGCCATGTCGTCCGGTACGAAAATCATACGAAGAGGAAGAGAGTTGGTCTCAATATGGACAAAAGACCTTGTTACGACATGCGCTAGTTATTTATGGTTTATTCGATGTCAACGCAGTCTATTTCGTGCCGTCTGGTGTTTTATGGACGCACCGATCGCTTATGATTGTGACGGAAATAAACACCATGATTTGACAGCTAAAAAAATAAAAATGGCGGCCTCCATTGGACAACACGATGACTTTCGATTTAACCAAAATCCATGTATGGATGTTTAAACATAATTAATTCCATATGACTACCTCACTGTGTATAATATCTTATTTTTGCCAAAGTTTCAATTCTCAAACATGAATAGGTTATCAGTTCCTTTTTTTCCCCCAAATAGTGGCAAAATATTCACGAGTCACTCATTTATATTTTAAATAGTTTGAATTAATAACTTCTAACATTGAAAACGACAATTCAGAACAGCTTGTAATAAATGTAATATTTACACATGAAATAAAGGGACCTGAAGGTCAATTATTAGTGTTTACATGAACCTTATATGAACGAGGCATGCATTACATATTTTTATCAAATTTCATATAATTATGTAATAACAGACTTATATGCGGGCTCTGCAATTTTGACTATCCCTTATGTGTTATTGACAGTGAAGAAACCAGCATGAATATTTGATCTTAACTTAAAACTTAGCAATAAGAATTTTCGCCGACTTTTTTCGCGTTCCTAGATAATTGTACTCATGATTATGACCTTACAGGCGCCGTATCAGTGGTATCCGGCTTCGTCGATTGTTATTCGTGTTCATACACCATCACCGCCGCGCCATGGATTACTTATGAGTGCGCAAACGACACAGATCACGTGCAAACAGGATCAGTACAGGTTCCATGTCCCGATTCACTTTATTGCGTCACAAAAGTCGTCTACAACGCAGGTATGTCATACATTATACGACACTTACATGATATCACACTGTAACGTCAATATATTGCTGATCATCTTGATTTTGTTCAAGGCCAATTTTTCGTGTTGACGGTATTTGCTTGGATTTTAAGATAATCATATCTTCTCGAAAATAATTTTTTCGTGAATTATAAGAATATTTTTGTAACATTGTATAATGTGAATATGTGTACACATGTATGGACGAAAAACATCCGTGTGTTTTTTGTGATAAACAACAGTATTAAGTTAGTTGAAAAAATCTTATTTTTCGATCATACAGATTTCCTAATTGTGCTTCAGGCGATATATCATAGAGGTTTTATATCCTCATCGACAAATTTGTGACATGTTTTATTTCCGTATCTACTCGCTGGCGTTAAACAAGAAATTTATCATATGACTACACTGTTATACGATAAAAATACTTATATTTAGAATAAGGCCTACCTTGTGTTACATCAACCGGTATGGCGTCAGAACTAAGTTAATTGGTATGACGTCGTGGTGTTGTGACGTCACATTTAATTTCTCAGACATGATGTTTAATATGACGACATTGAGATTCTGTTGACGGTCAGAGAAAACGTGTTTCGCAAAAATTGCACATATTAATGTTTTCATTTCATTTGAGATTTATAAAACTCATCCTGGTGGTTTTTTATCATTAATATTTCTTTTTCAAACAGTCAGAGCCTCGCTAAATTGAAACATATATATTTATATTGAAAAACATATTAAATCGAAAATCACAATGTTACTGTATAAATACAATGTATATCTCAATACAAAAGAGATGAGACGTATAGCAAGTGTGTGTATATTCTCTTTATGGCTTAGATTTAACGGAAATAAGATCGGTCACAAGAGGATGTATGGTGCCGGACACCGTCAGATGTGGCGTGAATTGCTGTGACAAGAGTCTCTATGACGTTTCATGTCAGTACCAATGTCGTACAGACGGTTGTAATAACAGAGATGTCACCACTAAATTGAACGAACGAAGCGGCACCGGAGCGGCAGCAGCTATACACTCAGGAGTCATTCTGCCACCATTTCTTGTTCTTTTTTCTTCATTTATTATGTCGTTGTTGGGAGGGTGAAATTTATTTATTAAACAATTATAGGGTCATCTTTTTTGTTCTAGTTCTTTTTCAAAGAATGACATGGAAATATCATGTTTTCATGGGCTTCAATATCTGGTAATATCAGCCAAGTATAATGGCTAAACATTTAGATTCAACCATTAAGTGGTGATATCCCTGAAGGTGCTTTAGTATACCGAGAAACACGTTTTCTCCTCAAGTGCCCTAACAGCTTACAACTCAATTCTTCTGACAGGTACACATGCCCATAGAGCTTACAACCAACTTCCTCTAATAGGTACACATAGCCCATAGAACATAAAACCACTTCCTCTGATAGGTACACATGCCCATAGAGCATAAAACCACTTCCTCTGATAGGTACACATAGCCAATAGAGCATAAAAAACCACTTCCTCTGATAGGTTCACGTAGCCCACATAGCTTACACCCTACTTCCTCTGATAGGTACACGTAGCCCACATAGCTTACACACTACTTCCTCTGATAGGTACACGTGGCCCACATAGCTTACACCGTACTTCCTCTGATAGGTACACGTAGCCCACATAGCTTACACCCTACTTCCTCTGATAGGTACACGTAGCCCACATAGCTTACACCCTACTTCCTCTGATAGGTACACGTAGCCCACATAGCTTACACCCTACTTCCTCTGATAGGTACACGTAGCCCACATAGCTTACACCCTACTTCCTCTGATAGGTACACGTAGCCCACATAGCTTACACCCTACTTCCTCTGATAGGTACACGTAGCCCACATAGCTTACACCCTACTTCCTCTGATAGGTACACGTAGCCCACATAGCTTACACCCTACTTCCTCTGATAGGTACACGTAGCCCACATAGCTTACACCCTACTTCCTCTGATAGGTACACGTAGCCCACATAGCTTACACCCTACTTCCTCTGATAGGTACACGTAGCCCACATAGCTTACACCCTACTTCCTCTGATAGGTACACGTAGCCCACATAGCTTACACCCTACTTCCTCTGATAGGTACACGTAGCCCACATAGCTTACACCCTACTTCCTCTGATAGGTACACGTAGCCCACATAGCTTACACCCTACTTCCTCTGATAGGTACACGTAGCCCACATAGCTTACACCCTACTTCCTCTGATAGGTACACGTAGCCCACATAGCTTACACCCTACTTCCTCTGATAGGTACACGTAGCCCACATAGCTTACACCCTACTTCCTCTGATAGGTACACGTAGCCCACATAGCTTACACCCTACTTCCTCTGATAGGTACACGTAGCCCACATAGCTTACACCCTACTTCCTCTGATAGGTACACGTAGCCCACATAGCTTACACCCTACTTCCTCTGATAGGTACACGTAGCCCACATAGCTTACACCCTACTTCCTCTGATAGGTACACGTAGCCCACATAGCTTACACCCTACTTCCTCTGATAGGTACACGTAGCCCACATAGCTTACACCCTACTTCCTCTGATAGGTACACGTAGCCCACATAGCTTACACCCTACTTCCTCTGATAGGTACACGTAGCCCACATAGCTTACACCCTACTTCCTCTGATAGGTACACGTAGCCCACATAGCTTACACCCTACTTCCTCTGATAGGTACACGTAGCCCACATAGCTTACACCCTACTTCCTCTGATAGGTACACGTAGCCCACATAGCTTATACCCTACGTCCTCTGATAGGTACACGTAGCCCACATAGCTTACACCCTACTTCCTCTGATAGGTACACGTAGCCCACATAGCTTATACCCTACTTCCTCTGATAGGTACACGTATCCCATATAGCATATACCCTACGTCCTCTGATAGGTACACGTAGCCCACATAGCTTATACCCTACTTCCTCTGATAGGTACACGTAGCCCATATAGCTTATACCCTACTTCCTCTGATAGGTACACGTGGCCCACATAGCTTACACCCTACTTCCTCTGATAGGTACACGTGGCCCATATAGCTTATACCCTACTTCCTCTGATAGGTACACGTAGCCCACATGACTTACACACTACTTCCTCTGATAGGTACACGTGGCCCACATAGCTTACACCCTACTTCCTCTGATAGGTACACGTGGCCCATATAGCTTATACCCTACTTCCTCTGATAGGTTCACGTAGCCCACAAAGCTTACACCCTACTTCCTCTGATAGGTACACGTAGACCACATAGCTTACACCCTACTTCCTCTGATAGGCACACGTAGCCAACATAGCTTATACCCTACGACCTCTGATAGGTACACGTAGCCCACATAGCTTACACACTACTTCCTCTGATAGGTACACGTGGCCCACATAGCTTATACCCTACTTCCTCTGATAGGTACACGTGGCCCACATAGCTTACACCCTACTTCCTCTGATAGGTTCACGTAGCCCATAGAGCTCACAACCAGATTAAGTATAATGCCTAAACATTTAGATTCACTATAAGCTCATAGCGTTTACAATCAGATTCTTCTGATAGGTACACATAGCTCCCTACTTCCTCTGATAGGTACACGCAGCCCATATGTAGCTTACACCCTACCTTCTCTGATAGGTACACGTAGCCCACATAGCTTACACACTACTTCCTCTGATAGGTACACATAGCTCATATAGCTTACAACCAGATTCTTCTGATTAGTACACAATTCCCTTAAAGCTCAAAACCCAAGTCTTATGATAGGTACGCATAGACGTAACAGCTTACAACCTTATTATTCTAGAAGGTACACGTAGCCCATACATATTGCCCTTACAGCCTACAAATAATAACATTAATATACCCTTTTATACATTACAGTAAAATAGTTGTATTGGATATTGGTAAAATACAGGTTTCTCCTGTATGTGTTTCATATATGGTTATTTCCGGTGCAGTGTCATCTTCGTGTGTATACTGTGAATTTCATACGACCTTGCATATTTTCAGTAAAGCATTACCACATACCAAATAATCTCAATAGCAAACACTTAGTAAGCGTGAATCAAGGTTATAAAGAAAATATAAACTAGAAGATTCATGAGGGCATTTTAATGGCATATACTATTTTACCATGAAACGGGATTCATCTGAAGATTGAATATGATCTGGCGCTACTCGAAAACAGCATATATAAAGAACAATAGAAAACAATATCCCAAGAATTAAAAGATAGACTCAGTCGATATGGTAAGACAAAATGAAACAAAATGGGACAAGACAAAAGGAAAAACATCATAAACCAGAAGGATTTCCTGCGCCAAAGATGGCTACATTAGGATGCCACAATTAAAGCCCTGAAAAGGTATAATTAAAGATGACGGTACGGTTTAATACACGGTGACGTGACACCCTTGTTTGGGCCTCTATGACAAGTATCAGTGGGAGATAGGGGACTGTGTGTACTCACTGTCGGAATGACCGGATCAACCGGCAGACGAGTTCGGAAACTCCCGATAACAGCTTCCCCATAGTCTACGTTATAATGAGGGTACATCACGTGGTCGTGATATCAACTGATCCGGATTTATAATATATAAACAAAACATTCCGTGATTTCTTCCCCAATTCTTTCTTACCCACACTATCAGCTTACTTTGGAATGTAAGAACGCAAACACCTGTCGCCAACAATCTTGATATGGCGTTGACATATCTTCATTAATTGTTCAAACTCACTTGTCACAAAACCTGCTTCAAGTTATTTGATGTTTGATGTATGTTTTAACAAGAATTAGTTTATTGGAACTGTACACAATTTAATACTGGGATCTGCATTGATTGAAAAAGGGGTAAAAGAGGTATTATATATATAATAATGTTATTCGTTAATACACTATTTCAGTTTCATATAGCACCCTTTCCTTTGTTTATCTCTGTCTTGACCTAATCTTAATAACGGCTCATTTTGATTTTTGCGACTTCCGTGTCCTTCCGATTGCGTGTAATAACTTGAAATGAATTTGCACGGAATATTGCACCAGTATGAACAGAGAAGAGATTCTAAACAATTAATTATGGTAGCTTCTATATCTACCCAAAGAAGGATACCATAGTTGCTTACTACCCATTTCTCAACTTCAACCTACGTTATTTGGCTGTGCGAACTGGTATTGGACGTAAAACAGATGTAAAATAGTTTTCCGTCTAGTTTGTCAATAGCTTGTATATATCTCCCCGGTCATTCTTAACCGTCTTTAATCTAAGGTTAAGAGGAAATAGTATGAAAATATCTCGATAGGAAAAGGCCGTTGACTGATGGTGACACGGTTTTCCTCCTCTTCTTTGGATATGTTCTATAGATACTCGTCCTTTTTAGAACTGATATAAACGCCAATGATCCTGTCGATAATATAGACCTACACTAAGTGTAATATCATTTTAAATTATTCTGATAAATGATTTTGTAATTGAACCACTATTTGCACGATTGAATTCCGTGTTATTTTTCAACAACTGAAATTGACAAGATCAGTCTGTTGCATATTTTCCATATTGACCCATGCTCAGTAGGAAGCATTAAGATTAATTGACCCATTCTCAATATGAAACATGAAAATTAATTAAAATATTTTACCAGGATTTATCGGCCGCCCCTGTTGAGTGCCCCGCGATTTCGGGTATTCATTTACTCATTAATCTTATAAGCGGTTGCGAACAACATCCCACCCGGCCTGATATAGCCCCTCACTTTCCATAAAGACATCGAGATGCTAGGAGGGACCCCACAGTCGCATTAACAGTTTTAATATAATCAAATGTAAATAATATCATTTATTTTATTTAAGTTAGTTTTTGAAAAATGAAGAGATTATTTTATGTTTGTATCATCGGACTAAGCTTATTCCTCATCTATGGATCATGTAAGTATACTCAACCTTATCGAGTATGACAGCTAAATTTGACACACTTAATATTTTTGTAGCTAATTGTTACTATTTTACATTCACGATATATTTATTCTGACAGCTACATTATTTGACACACTTAAAACTCATTCTGATAGCTAAATACCTCAATTGACACAATTATTACAGCAATTAACAAACACATAATAAATTCTAAAATATTAATGTTAGTAATGGACACACTTAATATATTCTAAATCTAAATGTTAAAATCTACATTTGACTCTGGCAGCGAAATGCGGGGATTGACTCTCTTATAATACTGATATCGAAATGTTCTAATAGACAAAACATATTCTGGTACTGTATAATTAGCATTTTATTTTTGCGTATCTTTAACTTTCGAATTTTGTCTGTAGGTTTTATTCAAAAATACTTAAATTTGCGATAATATTATTTCAATATTAATAGTTATTAACTATGGAGTTTATTTTCGCGGTTATATTTGCGAATGACGACGACAAGGGCAGGCATTTTACCTACGTTACATTTACAATGCATAACATTAATGCTGATGCTTTTTAATGTATATTTGCTCAAATGAAACAATTCAATGCCGGTAGGATTCGTCTCATAGTATTTTATAAAGGTTACATGTAAAAATTGAAAAGACAGATAAAGTGAATTTCAGCATATATTCTATATACAGAGAAAAAAATGTAGCAATAATGCATGTTATATTTTAACAAAGACAAATGAAAAATCAGAAACGATACATGCTTCAGTTACAAGGGCAGGATTCAACATGTAGCACTTCATTTTGCCAGGCCCCATTACACACCGTCTGTCAGTCCTTTATTACACCAGAACTCATCCCCTTTCAGTTCCAAAGGACGAAGGCTAAATGCTTATTTACATTGAGGAATACTGGGATATGGCTTGACGGATCCTTCTTACAAAAACATACTCGTTTTAATTCATTACCTTTTTGATTTTAACTTAAAACATAACTAGTTGTAAATATGTCCCATTTTTGTCCATTCCCTCCAATTAAAGGCATTGCAGACGAAACACAGACTGGGGAGACATTCTGGTGTCACGTGTGTTCGTATACAGTAAATGACCAGGCCAACGGCTTCGATTGTCTCAATAATACAGACGAAATGCACGACCTGCAGAGTCGCATTAAGTGTGGCAACTACTGTGTCATACAAGAACAATGGGACAAAGGTACGTCTTTTTTACCAAACATTTTGGTCAAACAGGGACCATGCGATAACAGTGCACCAGGTATGCCATGTATGGGTTAAAGGGACAATATATCAAAATGTGTTATTCATACTAGATATTGATTAGAGGGATAGTGGGACATAGGTCACACATACAGAATTAATGGGACAATAGTATGTCATGTATTCCAGAAATTGGTCATACAAGGACAATAGGACAAGGTTTCGGTATGTATACCAGCTATGGGTAACAGATGAAACAAATAAAACCTACGTTTTAACAGCTACGGGTCCTATGTCACTTTTACCAGATATTGGTCATACTAGAACAATGGAAAATGACAGTATGATCAATATGGGCACTGGATCAAAACAAACAAAAGTTTGTTGGATACGTATTACTTGAATATTTATATAAGCAAAGACATTATAACGACACTGCAGACAAAGGAATTCATCTAATTTTCAGGGCTATCTGCCCCTTTTTTCAAGGCAGAAACATGAGTACATACATATCACAACATGTCACAAAGATAAACAGTCACTATGAAACAATACCACAGCATAAAATTCATAAACAAAAACCAGTTATCACTTTTGAAAAATGCTGCTGTTATCGCATATCCCCTTGGTTAGCTTGATTGTAGCCGAAGGCTAATATTGTAAAAAACAATCAACTTGGAGACTTGGGATCCAGTGAATTAATAGAAAATATATGTAGTAAGAAAATCCATATCTGTAGTAGTTCGTGTACCCACAGCGTGAAAACGACTGCGATAGACGGGGGTGTCTCTGAACGTCAAAATGGCGGACGGGGTAACTCCCACTTGACCAGGTAGTAAATAGAGGTCAAAGATCGAAAATGTAGGAAACTGGGAAAATGTGACAGAAACTTGATATTAAGATGGCTGTACGAATGAATTAGTATCAGGGTTTAAGTTATTGAATGTAAAAACGGAAATGTGTACGGACAATGTCGTCTACCAAAACAACTCGTCACAAACAATTTCGTCCACACAAATATCGCCCCAAAAAGAGTGTCATGATTAGGTAAATAAATAATATGAAATAAAAATGAAAGGATAAGCAACTTTATATTAAGTAAAAATATGAAGACGTTAAAAATACCGATAGCAAAAAGAAGGGTCCGGACTCTCGGGGTTGATTACATCTTACTCCAGACTCTATCGAATTATTTTACCGGTATGATATTTAGCTTTAAGTCAATTCGAGTTAATTTTGTAACATTTTCATTGAACAAGATATTATATCATATGAATAAAACTGCAAATAAACACAATACTTACCAAATCAAACATGTATACTATTGATATTTGAGCACTTTGAAAGCTCACCTTCTTCAATGTAAAAGAGATGTTTTTCAATAAAGATACCCATTTCGCTCAATAGATTGGGTGTCGCCTAAAGAAGTACTTTTTGAAAATAATTTTGAAAAACTATTTCCTTATGTCAGTTGTGTAAATATAATAGAAAAAGAACTGCACCGTGTCTTCTATTGTTTTAAAATTCGTACAAAGACGAAGTTATGGGGGATTTGTTTTAGCTCTCTCTGTTTTTTTCTCTATGATTTTGCTAACCTTTCTCTTGTTTTATTTAAGTAACAGCCATCTGAGCAGCACCTACTCCCTTACACTAAACACTGAGCAGTGAGTTAAGAAGCCACTGAATCCCAAGTTTACCTTTTGATCCATGTGTGTCGCTAAAGTTTCCGATGATAAAAGCACTTTTAAACTTCCTGTTTAGTTTGACTTATAATACCAACTTTCCAATCAAAGAATTTAAATGTCGGGCAAGCGTATTGTTTTAGTTACATATTCTATTTATTCTCAAAGTGAAGCAATTACCCGTGCTGGAAATCCGTTTGACAGGAAAACAGGTTTTAACTCCCTAATGTGATTTTCTTTAATGTCACGAAATGCTAGGGTACATGCCGGTGTTGTCTCGTGTCTCCGATGGCCGAGTGGAAGTGTGAGCGTGTAGGAGGCGGAAACCACGCCGCCATCTTTGTATAATCAAAGGATGGCCGAGTGGACCGGAAGCCCTGGGCGTGTGTAGTCTAATGACGGGGATTATCGTGTGATAAGTTAGCATTGTCACTTTAAGATACTTTGTTAAGTTATTGGTTGATTAGTATATGCAGCCATCCCCATACTGATTTCAAATAAAAAGTTACAGCAAAAGTGACGTTCAAACTATTCGCACAGACTGGAATTATTCCAAAATGTAGTACTTTGAAGTGTGTCGGTATATGCATGGTGTGTCAATATGTCGCAATGTGTGTCAGAATGTTACATAGTGTGTAAATGTGTTACATGGTGTCGTTTTGATTCAAATTTGTCAATGTTCTACAATGTATACTTACTTAGATGACGAAGTGTATAGTGTATGTGTCAGTCTGTTACATAGTGTGTCAATATTCTATACAGTCGATCAAAACTATCATAGTGTGTCTATGTTCGACGTAACGTGTTAAATATAGAATAATGCATGCCTTTTTCCATATCACCCCCAGTATCAGCCCGAGACTGCAATATCAGCCCAAGGGCCGAAGGCCCGCGGGCTGGTATTGGTCGAGGGTTGATACTGGGGGTGATATGGAAAAAGGCGTGTTTTATTCTGTTTATTACATACTTACTAATAAAAACTACTATCTTATGATTTATTTTAATTTTTGAAATATTGAAAAACTATTTTTTTTCCAAATGGGGTGTGATATGGGTTTTGCGGGATGATATGGGTTTTGGGGTGTGATGCGGCGGGGGCTGATACGGGGTTTGGGGTGTGATACGGCGAGGGCTGATATGGGTTAGAGCAATTGTGTCGTATCGCATAATAAAAAAAACCGTATTTATTTGTAAGTATGTAATAATATGCTATATAGTGACACACTTTGTAACATAGTATGTCATCATATACCAAAGTGTGTCACTGTATAACATATTAACACATTACGTCACATATAAACACATTATGTCACATATTGACACATTATGTCACATATTAACACATTACGTCAAATATAAACACATTATGTCACATATAAACACATTATGTCACATATTGACACATTATGTCACATATAAACACATTATGTCACATATTGACACATTATGTCACATATTAACACATTATGTCACATATT